GTTTCTTATTAAATATTAAGTTACGTCAGTTAATTACTTATTTATTTAGACAAAGGTTTTCTTGAATATGTGAGATAGATAGAGTAATTTATTCTAGTTGGAGTTCGTGTTTTAACTTAAAGCGGTTTGTAAATACATATGTTTTCAAGACATCGCTGGTAACCATGACACGTCTTAGAACATCACTGATAACCATAAACGGTTTCAGCACCTTACGGGCAACCGTAACATTTTCAAGTCTGATTACTAACCACATTTGGTTTCAACAGTTCATCGCTAACCAAGACCGGTTTCAACACATCACTGATAACTATGGTTGGTTTCAATACCTCAAAGAAACCACGAACAGTTTCGACATTTCAGTGTTAACCAAGGCTGGTTTCGACATTTCAGTGTTAATCATGATAAGTTTCAAACCTTAGTTGTTAACCACGACCAGTTTCAATATTTAATTGGTCATTATGACATTTTTGCATATCTCTGATAACCATGAACAGTTTCAGTATCTCAGCGGCAACCACAGCTGGTTTCAAAATTTCATGGTTAACACAAGCTTAAACCCTTTAATATTAACCACGACCAGTTTCATCATTTAATTGGTGATACTTAGATTTCTAGCACATCATTGATAACCTCGAACAATTTCAATATCTCAGTTGTAATCGCAACTGGTTTCAAACACTATTGCTAACCACGACCAGTTTTAACCCTTTATTGTTAATCACAACCAGCTTAAACACATCAGATTAATTAAGAAACCTAATGGGAAAGCACACATTTCAGAATCTAATGTGTACGTGTCAGTCAATTTACCAAAGAGTAGGTTTTCAGAACTGGTTTGCTGTGATATACAGAGGGTTGATTACGTTATATGAAAACGATTTTCAACACGCAAATCAGTTAGTCACGTGACATCTTCAGCAGATATAAATTTGCGTTGTAATAACATGTATTAAAACTATGTTTTGTATGTAGTGTGACGCTATCTAAAATAGGTCGCCTTTAAAAGAGATATGTAACAGCCCTTTTGCAAAATATTCATACTCTCACATCATAAAGATGTGTTCAGATCAAGGGTTTATAATTCTCAAGATGAGGATATCCTTTGCACTTAATGACATTGGAGAAAAAGGACATATGGATGAACTTAGAGAACCGGGACTATCCAAATAAAAGACCTGCAACAAGTCAAGGTACAGCCGTGATAAGAAAAATGTAGATGAGAACCAACGACAAACACAAAGGTCAGTGACAAAAGCCGTC